AGAAATAAAATAGTCCCAAAAATTCTTAAAAAGGAAGATTTCTCCTTTTTTTTTTTTTGATGGCTTAAACGATTATATTATGAGGCCTACATGTTTAGCTTCTTCATAAATTATATAACTTAAATGCATTTTCAATACCAACCAGCGCGCAAAGACTTCCAATGTTTTTACGAAATTTCACGCCGATATCTTCATTTTTGCCGCAAGGTGAATGCCGACAACATAGGTATACAGACGGACAAACATAACTAAATCAATTCAGAATTTCACCTTGAACACGAATATATATACTTTATAGGGTCTCTTCCTGTAACTTCCTTTTGGGTATTACATAAATTATGAAAAAAAACAGCGGTACGTATAAAAATCGAAAACAACCTGGGGTACAGTTCTTCAATAACTCATAATCTATAGATGCGCACGTAGTATATTGAAGAGGCATAGGATTCAGTACTCAGCCGTTTAATGATAAAGAGCAAAAAATTTGTCTACCTGATATCTTGTCCATGGATTATCGCATTCGATCTGATGATAGAAAATTTTTAAGATTTTTTATACGAAACTTGGTACGCAATGCGGGATTTTGGCCCAAGAACAAATCCTGTTGCAAAGCGACTGGGTCGGGTCGCTTTTGCGACGGTTTCCTATATAATGCTTAATTTTGAAAAAGTTATCATGCGATTATAAAAATGGATCCGTTTGAACTATGGCATCCTATTTTGCACAGGTGATTGCATGAGCGAAATTTGTAATTTGTAGTAGTCTCTCTCTCTCTCTCTCTCTCTCTCTCTTAAATTGATATTGCGCTCTACACCTGCTGATTTCAGGATATAAAGAAGATGCTTTATTGTAATAATCTGCCCATAATTGTACATTGGACAAAAGGATTTCTGAAGAGTGCGTTGGTGTCTTCCAATTGTATGGCCAAATCGAATTCTCGAAAATATTTCGATCTAAATTTCGCGAATGTTAGTTGGATATAATCCAGGAAGATAAGTGTTAACCCCTACCCTTAGTGCTGATGACATTACTGTGATAATTTTCTCTTTAACTTTTCTTCCAATATATGCTGAAAGGTCCCAAAGATGTCATGAAAAGTAAGCCTATAAATTATGATGAAAATGTGGCACACGATGAGTCTGCCCTCCCTACGACATTTCAATTTTTCAATCCGATATTCAGTATATTTAAAACAATTGTCTTCATTGATCGCATGCAGTTGCGCAATTTTTTGCTAAAGAGAAAAATTTAGTAAATAAAAACTTTGCTTTACGTTTCCATTACCATGTGACTGCGAGACAAACGAATGCTAGGAAGCGATCAAAAAGGATCAAGAGATGCAAGTTAGTTTGTTCAAAAAATCACGAGACTGATGTGCGAAAAAATTTTAGTAAGTTCCTTTGGAAACTTCACTTAAAATTTGCATACATGTCCTGGTTACATTTATGACTTTATCTTATGTTTGGAAACATATTTTTTTGAAAAATTTTCAGAGAAGAACAGAGAAGAAGGGTTAACATAAACGAAAAAGCGCGGCGTTCAAATGCTTGGGCTGAGTCTAGTTTTTTCTTATTAAAATTACAAGTTCATGGAGGCCGTTTTAAGTCAATTAAAATATTAAAAGCGTCCATCAGTAATAGTTAATCTAAGAAAAAATTGTTGGCTGGCGTAGTTGTCCTTGCAAGCGGTAAAATAACTATTACACTATAAATTATTTTTCCCCAACACTTCCAGAATCTTTTTGTGTAACATTCTTTATCACATTCAACAGATTGCTAGATTCGCCCTTAATTAATTTTCCTTTCTTTTTTTTTAATTACGTAAATAATTTACAATCCATTCGAAAAGATAATAAGGAAATGTTATATCAATAGGAGAAAAATAAAAAAGCTTATTGTCCCTAAAGGGGTCGGAAATTTGTGGCAAGGGTTTAACGTGGGTTCCTGCCTGAAAGGCTTAACCCCACGGTGGCCCAAGCCACTTTTAAGCGTACTACGCCCCCTGGCGAGTTAGACAATCCCCACAGAGTAGGGGCCTAAACAGCACCAGAGTCCAGAACAGTTTATTGTGTATGGAACAATAAACCCCACTCTGGTGAATGGCGAGGCCTAGCTGCACTCAATTGTTCCATTTTAGCTAGGAACTCGCCAACCACAATCACCACGAGTACTCCCCGAAGGGCCACACCCAAGCTGTCAGAACTCACAAATTGATCAACGCTTGCTTCCGCCATAAGGCTTCCACTGTGCTGTTGATCAATTACCACCATTACCCGCAGGCATCCGTGACATGTGTTCAAAAGTAAAAATAGGTAAAAGGGGAAAACTTATTCGTCATATCCCTTTTCCATTTTTGCATGTATTAATTAATTTACCAGACATCTTCTATCAATCGGCCAAAGGGAAGGCCGTCCGTCAATTCCTTTTTGCATTAATAGTATAATTAATTTATTTATTTATTACGACTTAAGGACAAAGTCCATCATATACCCGCAGCCATACGTGGCTTTGTGAGGCGAGCTTCCTGACCCCCGTGGCTCCCAGTTTGTTTTGCAAAGCCTTTTGGCATACAAAGGGGTCACTATGATGTTTAAATGAATAAAAAGAAACTGTATAAACTTTGAGAATTTATTAAAATAATTTAAAGAAAAAAATTTAATTAGTCGCTAAATTAAAGATCTAGTATATGATGTCTTTTCAATCTTCTTATTTCGTTGATTCCATCTTGAAAGAATATTACCAGGCAATTTACGTGATTACTCGGTTTGACGAGATATTCCGAGGAAAAGCGTTGGATTAGATTGTTGGTAAGTGGACAGGCCAGGTCATCATGAATATATTTGTCGGCAAGTAAACACGAGGCATTAGCAATAAGACGGAGGCTTATGGATTAACGTTTTTGAAAGTATTTCAATATTAGAATTAATGGTTGCGCCCCACACTTGTATGGCATAACTCCAAATAGATTAGAAGATACTCTTTTATAAAATGCATTTATATTTGTGTGTAAAAATGTCTGTTTAGCAAACAGGATTTAAGTAGCAAATAAGTTTAAAATACCCAATCATGCCTCGACTTTATCGAAGCAATAATTTTTACTTTTAATTGCGTCTTTGATGTACAAAACAACGCGACGAAATTGCTCTAGAACTGGGAGTAGTCAACAATTATAAAAAAAAAAATTTTGAAAATTTAAAGTCCATCCCTTTGCATAGATAGTTCGTGTTAACTATATTTCCGATTTATTGCATGTTAACACTGATTTATATAACACTGATTTCGTCATAGTCGCAAAAATCAAGATTGAAATTTAGCAGGCATAATCAACCAAAAACTCAAGGTTAAGAAAATCGACGTGATCTACCCGCATTTGAAAGACAATTTTTTACCAATTTACTCGTAATTGGATGAGCAACGTACTAACGTGCTTTAGAATGAATTGTAAACAAATTGGGAAAAAGTTGGAACTGAAATTTCATCGTTAATGGTGAAGATGTCAGTAAACGGATCGACAAACATCTGAGTAACGATTTTTCTGCACTGGATCCAAAGTTATAGAGGAATATATGAAAAAATTCGGTCGGTATGCAGTCGAGGTTATCTTCGTTTCGCCAGTATTGTAGACATACATATGGACAGATCATATTCATTTTCTAACCATTGCGTTTCTAATCGATTACGAAGTGTTTATTCCAAATTGAAACCACTTATTCTCATTTCTAACCCTACGGCAATTCCACCAGAAAAAAAAGGGTCAAAACAATCCCTGCTGGTAGAAGTTTATAAATGTCATCTGTCATCTGAAACACGTACAACAAGCAGCGAAAAATTGATTACAGATATTTAATAGGATTTTTAGATAAATAAAAGTCACAACATATTTGAAGCTTGAACAAAAGTTAGTTTAACCCACGAAGCACTTTTTGAACAAAAGTTAGTTTAACCCACGAAGCACTTTTCTATTGTTAAGGATTCTATTCAATTTACATTAATTACAAAAGATTCTTACCTTTTCTCATACAGTATTTACCCAACAAACATGCTCAACTATCAACTCGAGCATATTTTCTAAGCAGACAATAGTTACTTTGCATATGTGTTCAGCGATGAGAATAAATATACTACACTGGCGGGAAATTTCTGTTGTATTTTGCTATCTACTAGTAATTTTACTTGCCAGATTAACACAAGCAGGTCGAGTGCATCATGTAGGGCTTTATTATTAAGCGTATCTCTCGTCGAGTATAAGCGGACTGATGTAAAAAAGTAAAAATTATTACATATATTCGGACGAATAGACAGAATGCCGGAATAATAATCGAAAGGAACATATCTCTGTCACTTATTTCTCCTTTACAAGAATAACGTCTCTTATCTCATTTCATTAAATAAAGTTGCTAAACATCACTTATTGAAACAATTTCCGCACAGAATGCTTAAATGTCCTTATATTATTAAATAGACTGAACGATTATTACAAGTATACCCTGTTTCCTTACTTTCTTTCCTTCATTCCCCTTAATTTCTTCCCTTTGTTCAAAAAGATTTCTAGTCATTCAGAACAGACAAATAAGTGGACAGATGGACGTGACTCAATCGTCTTAGAATCTCGCCCTAATTGATGCACTCTCTAAAGCGCGCTGTTTGAACTGTCACAGATGAAATGACAAAACTCCTGTACTTTCGTCATTTGATGGTGCAAATAAATATGCAAACTATTCTTTTGAACAGTTAAAAAACTTCCAAGAAGTTTTAATGAGTTGCCCTGCGAAGCGAACTGCTTTTGCTCCGAAGAAAAGCCTATGCAGTTAATGCGGCTTCATCAACATCAACCTAAGATATGATAATAATTGAGGCGATGCATCCATAAAAAATAATGTATGTTTATATTATTCGTATTGTTGTAATTTAAGTGGTGCTTGTTGTAGCGTTGTGTTTATTTTTAAACAAATATAAATTTTTTTCCCTTGACAAAAACAAAAAAAAAAAAAAAAAAGATAAATAAATAAACAAATAAATATAAATAAAAAATAAAGAAAATAAAATATGAAAAAAAAAAAAAACGAAAACAGTTCACCGACGCCAGTTGGCGGCAAATTGTGGCGACACGTCTGGAGCGTGCGGCATATTAGTATGTACCGTGTTGCCAGCGTACCACCAATGCGACGATAAGCAATACCACAGCAATCAACTGCAAACAAAATCATCAACATCATCGGCATAACGTCGCCTTGTCCAGAATCAAAGGTTTTGATCCCCAATAAAATACACATAAAATATCCACAGCCACATATACATACTTGAAGAGAGTATGTTATTAACGACAACTGAGATAAAAAGAAAAATTAAAAAAAAAAGTAAGACAGATATAAACACACACGCGCGCACAAATCTGATCTCATCAATTTTCATCTGATCGTCAGCATATGTTGCACACATATCAACATTGCGACCTGACGAAAGGTAGAGGGAGAAAAAGACTAACACACACACACACAAAGAGATTAAAGTTATTATAAGTTGTTGTTAGGCCATAAGGCCCAGAAGCAATTTCAATAAATTGCGTGACTTTGATGTCATCTCCAGCAAATGCCAAACAGGAGCAAAATGAGGAAACCAAAGAGAAATTAAACAAAGAAAAATACAGATATATCTATATAAAAACAACTAAAAAGACTATATTCATATCATGAAGAACCTTTGATACCCATCACTCTATAAACATATATACATACATATATATACATATATATATATTTACATATATATAGTTGATAGTTGATATATATATATATATATATATATATATATATATTTGACATATATATAGATATATATATATATATATATGGTTTATATATATATATATATATAGATATGTATATAGATATAGGTAGTTGATATATATGTAGATATATATATATATATATATATATATACAGTTGATAGACGAGGCCAATATTCTCCTGCATAATAATCGAATTGTCGATCGATGTCGGGAGTGCGGATACAGAGAAATATTTTACATTTTCGTAAATTGTGCACTTGCTTGTTGAGAGATCACGTCCACTACGTGTACGAAGTTTTGCCATCCAGCTCGGGCTTTCAATCTATTATTATTAATCGTATATTAATAATACTTGATGTGTATTTCATCTGTGGTTGGGGATGTTACAAGAAGAAATGACAAATCAGTATACGACATTTTTATGTATAACATGTAAGAAAACTACGATCGTTTTACGAAGAATTTTGGATACCTATAAGGTAAAGGAAAAAAAATTTTTTTTTTGCTTGCAGTTATCAATACACGAATTAAATGTTATTATTCTAGCTATCTCTCTTTCATAGTCGACATTACTGAAAAAGCATTCATAATTATTAAAAAAACATTTTTTTTTTTTTTTTGTTAAATAGTGCACTATTTCGATTTCAAATTTGAAATATGTGCGAAAATCAATTCAACTTGATTTCTTTAATTTCTTTTTTTAAGATTTCAAATTTCTAATAATAGTCAGACAGATTTGGTTAACTTAGCTCAACAAGTGTCCGATATTTTCATGGTACAAATGAAAAGAAAAAAAAATTTACCTTCTTTTTAAATATTGAATATAATAACAATCAAACCACAAGATTTTAATACAACATCATACTACCATAGCGATGCTATGCCAAAAAAGAAAATATCATCAACCAAGACAAGATCATCAGTTGAGGCTGTCAAACCGTCACAATATATAAACTCATTGAAAGGCAACCACTGCAAAATACGAGAAATAAAAATTCAAGCCTCAAAGTGACTGTACATCATTATCATCAATTCAAGTAGCTCCCACTCTGCAGCCTTAAAAGTGCACAATTTATGTTCATACATATGTATGCTGGCAACACTGCTTGAATATTAAGCCGACTGCACAAAAACAAAAAAAAAAAAAAAAAAAACCGTCACATACATACATGCATACGCATTCACTTTCATTACATTAACTTTTCTCTTCCTCTCGGAGGATCTCAAGCAAAGAGGAAAAAGAAAACGATCATCATAAGCACGTATCTGTCATTTGTAAAAACAAGTTTGTTTATTTGATTGTTTGTTGGTTTTTAATAATCATTAAATCAATAATCTTTGAATTAATAATTATTCAATTGCTACTATCGAGACTATTGTCTCGTCTGGTCACTAATTATTTAATTCTTGCAATTTTTCTACTCGCATCAGTTTGCTTGATAAATTATAGTTCAAATTGATTGACTTGATTTGAAATTAAGTTGCAAAGGTTGTTGAGGGTCTTCAATAAAATTTCTATCATTTTCAAATAAGAATAGGAAGTCGCGGGATCAACTCCATATCTCGATATAAACAACTTTACTGCTTACCTTATCATTTGTTTCAGTTGATTATTTGAAGAAAGATGTTTGAAGTTGCTTTTATCTATGCAAATGGGAAAATGTCAAGATATTCGATTTACTCATTGCTAACTAACTCATTCAGCTCTGCTCGCGCTGCATACTTCCCGCGTTTCCTTTTTGCTTTGCCATATATATATATACATAAACGTGCACATGTTTCACTCTTCAGTTTGTTTAATTAGATAAATTTCTAAATTGTCTTCATGTTCTTTAATTTGTTGTTTCAATTTCACTTTAGAGCGACCAATTCGATTTTCATGATTTTTCTTGTGCAAATACAAGCCGTTGCGGGATGACAGTAAACGATCACAAATATTACAGGCAAACATTTTGTGGTTTACATGTGTCAAGGCATGAGCGTTCAACTCAGTTCGTTGCTTGAAGGTCTTATCGCAAAAATCGCATCCATACGGCCGTTCGCCAGTATGTGTGCGATGGTGTCGTATTAAGCCATCAATGCGCGCAAATGTTTTTATACAATATTTACATTCGTATTTAAAAAGGGATGTTTTATGAGTATTCATGTGACGTGACAATGATTGCATATGTGTAAACTTTTGACCACAATCACGACATTTGAAGGCCTTCGCACTGGGATGCGTCTGCTGTACGTGCTGTACAAGATCGCGTTGAATATAGAAACTCTAAAATTGTATAAAAGTATTAATAAAATAATCTCAAAACAACGTTCTTGCGGGTATTAACGTACTTGCGAACAAACTGAACACGTAAGATCGGTTAAAAGTGGTCGTTTTACTCGAGGTTGTTTGTGTTTATAACGCATGGGTAAACGTTTTTTAAAACTATTAACATCTTCTGGTTTCTTTGATTTTGTACCTTCCTTATTGTCTTTATTTTCCTCCACAATTGGCGTTTCTTCTTCTGATAAATGTGCTCCTTCTTCCTCCGACTTAATAATGTCCTCAAAAGTAAATAATTCGTCATCGGCGTTCGCCGGCACTAGTTCATATGTTTCAAGACTTCCTTGCGGAATGTCACTCAACAGGTCAGCATTATCGTCATCTCGCTTACCATCATTGGGATCATTTTCTTCTGAGCTCAATAGTTCAATGTCTTCTAAAACTTCGTACTGTTCATATTCTATTGGTGTTGTTGATAACTCTTTTCTATCTTTTACATTAATTGGGTTTAAGCTTTCATTATTTTCTGATTCGTTCTCTTCGCATGAATTCAAATTTTGATAAAGCGATTTTAAAACGTTTTCAGCTCTTTTAATTTGAACGGTAAGGTAATATAATTTAGTTATTTTACTGACGCATGACTTGCAAACCATCGACGGTAAAGGATGATCAAGATTTATCTATAAAATTTGTTTGTAGTGGTTGAATAAAAGAAAAACTAAGTTAATTGTTGAAAAAAAGCAAACTAAGTTCGATTTTGTAAAACGTAAATATGCAAACATAAGCACTCATGCAAACAGGGAGCGATTTTTTGTAATCCACCGACTAAATCAAAATCATTTGGAAAAGTTCATACATCCACCCCAGAAGCAAAATTTTATTTCTTAACGGCATTATTATATGCACTGCAGACAAAAAGACAGACACGATTAAATCGGCTGATAATTTAACCGATTATATGCATATATACATGCATATGTACTTGAAAAGCTTATACATTATCTGGTATACTTACAGTATATCCTATAGAAAGTTGAAGCATTTCTTTAATATTCAGAAATTTTTCTTGAATTGTATCGATGACCATTGCATTGATGGACAAACTATCGTCGAGATCTATTTCGCACAAGCAAGTACGGCACAATTGCCAATTGTTAACATCTTCAGGCTGTAAGGAGCTTTTAGTATTCACTTTGAATTCTAATACATTTTCATAGTATAATATTTTACGCAACATTTCACACATTTTGTCAAATACTATTTTATATACTTATTTTTTATTCTGTAATTCAGTTTAACCCTCACTGGACTTTATTACAGCTGACTGCATAAATAAACATGTTTTTATTTACTTTTAGACATTCACAAAAAATTAACAACAGATCGAGCTTATTTGAATGGTCGTTATTCGCATTACAGAACAATAGAACAGCTAATGTCATATTTAGCAACATTGTCCCATTTTAACCATTTCTATTATGTATGTTAAAGGAACACACTAAACGTTTTAAAACCAATAATATAATACGGAATGTACAGAGATATAAAATTCTACCTTAAAAAAAGACGTAGGAAGGCAAATAAGGAAAAGAATGGTTTTTCTTTTAACAAATGTTACCACGTTAAGCATGTAAACTAATTCTTATATAATATAATATAATATGAAGATCATGAAAGCCGATTGCATTACGTTTTAATGAAATTAAATCATGCATTTGTTCACAGCTCCATAAATTATTTTATGCATTTAAATCTTTTCCTTTACGATCTCGTCGCAGTAAAAGCCCGAAAAACAGATGGCACGACACGACTAACTACTAACTAAAACATCGAAGGCAAATTGTGAATTTCTGGTAACGCTTGTCAGTTGCAATTCGCCAACGCAGATTCATAAAAAAAGTTTTATCCATTATTTTTTTTCGGTTGCTCTTATATATTTTCGGATTATTTTGGTAAGTATATTAATATTACAAAAATATTAAATAAGTGAAGGACAGCGCACAAGTCAAGTAAATAAATTGTTAATAATAAATTATTAAATATTATAAGACGCCAAACGAGTGAAAAATTATTGTTGTGGCCGACGTAAAGTGGTGTTATTTGAAACTTATAACTTATGTAATTATTATGTGTCTATCGATTAGAGAATTTAAAGAATTTGTTTTTTTTTTTTTTTTTTTTTGGTCATAGAAAATATGATTCGTGCACCGCTGGTCAAGGCATTGGGTACGCTGGGTTCGCCTACCCACAAAATTGCTACTCAAGCGGTACGTACTAGTGCCGCTGCTGCTCAGACACCAGCCAAAGCACCCGAAAAGTTTGAAGTGTTTGTAGATGACATTCCTGTTAAAGTTGCACCAGGTACCACTGTTTTGCAGGTAAATTAACGTTTCAAATTTAGTTAATATCTAATTGCATATATTGTCTGCTTTTAGGCAGCTGCCATGGTTGGTGTGGAAATTCCCCGTTTTTGTTATCATGAACGTCTGGCTGTGGCTGGTAATTGTCGTATGTGTTTGGTAGAAGTAGAAAAAAGTCCGAAACCAGTGGCAGCTTGTGCTATGCCTGTGATGAAAGGCTGGCGCATCAAAACCAATTCCGAACTGACCCGCAAAGCCCGGGAAGGAGTAATGGAATTTTTATTAATGAATCATCCGTTGGATTGTCCGATTTGTGATCAGGGAGGAGAATGCGATTTGCAAGATCAAGCAATGGCCTTTGGTTCGGATCGCTCACGTTTTACGGACATTGATCATACGGGTAAAAGGTAATGACAAAAATCGATTGTTCAGTTTTTATGGGAAGCATGAACATCGATCTCTAATGGGTTAACTCTATTTATATATATACATATGTATATATATATACATTTTTTTTTTGTTTTGCGTGGTAACAATGACAACAAAAAGCCATTTATTCGATAACTCCGTTCTAGGGCGGACTCAGACTCGGTATTATTTGTCTTAGTAATAGATGTAATGATGATCTATTTAAAACTAACCTTTGGATTCGAATTTTTTTTTTCATTCGTATTGCGAGTCGCAACCGCCATTTGTCATCAATAGCGAAACACCCGAATACTAGTTTTTACGATTTGTTGTTATGTTAAAAACTGCAAATTATTTACAATGTCTCCGTAGCGGAGCCCTCGAGTTTGAAGACTAATTTTAAATGGCTCCGCTTCGGAGCTCTTGAGTGCAAAAGGTTAACATAGTGAACAAGCCTTTATGCACATGTAGAGCCTTCCAATCTCCTGATCATACCCTATTTGTCGGTCCGAAAATTGCACTTCTATTCGCCATGCCACACTTCGCAAATTGAGTATACGTGGTCTTTCGTCACAACAGCATTCTTGACACATTGCGTTCTCGCAATTTAACAGCTTACTTCGCAATCTTTTTTTTTTTTTAAATCATGGAATCAAGATATATAAGCGCTTACAGTCAATTTATGAACCTACTCTCTTCTACACTTTTTTGCTTCCACTTCCATCAATTTGTTCACATACTCAATGCAATCAATTCGTTTTTATACTCATGTACCACCTTACATCTTACACATCGGAATTTACTCGTTGCTCTTGTGTTTTATCCTACGTGGCGGACGTACAACACGGGAAATTAAAAATAAAAAACTTTAATCATATAATCACTAAAATAAATAAATAGTAATATTATATTCCAAATATACTATTCCAAGGCATAAGTAAGGTATTAAAAAAAATATTTTCAAAAACCATCGCAAGCGGTCAAGGTTTGAAAAATGCATCACCATCTCGAATATTTCCTTGAATACAATATTTCATAAAATGACTGAAGTCAAATTATTAAACTATTAAAGACCCATATTATCATATGTAAATGCGTACAAAAGAATCAAAATGTTATTTATATAAATATTGTCAAGAAATTCTTTTGTTAATTAATTACTTGTATGAATTTATATGCTTACAGAGCGGTAGAGGATAAAGATATTGGCCCTTTAGTAAAGACGATTATGACCCGTTGCATCCATTGCACGCGGTGTATTCGATTTGCTTCGGAAATTGCCGGTGTAGATGATTTGGGTACTACAGGTCGTGGTAATGACATGCAAATTGGAACCTACGTGGAGAAACTTTTCTTAACTGAACTTTCGGGCAATGTTATTGACCTATGCCCAGTGGGAGCTTTAACTAATAAACCTTACAGGTGTGCGTTGCAGGATTAGGAAAAACTCACTGTTTCGTAGATTACATCTAAAATTTTTTATGTAGTTTTGTTGCTCGTCCTTGGGAGATACGAAAAATTAGCAGTATTGACGTCTTGGATGCGGTGGGTAGTAATATCGTTGTTAGCACACGTACCAATGAAGTTTTACGTATCTTGCCACGTGAGAATGAAGACATTAACGAAGAATGGTTAGCTGATAAATCTCGTTTTGCTTGTGATGGGCTGAAACGTCAACGTTTAGTGGCCCCGATGGTACGCATGCCTAATGGTGAATTGCAGGCCGTAGAATGGGAAGGTGCTCTTATTTCTGTAGCGAAAGCCTTAAAGAATGCCCAGGGTAAAGTGGCCGGTATCGCAGGTCAACTAGTTGACGTTGAAACCATGGTCGCTTTGAAAGATTTATTAAATCGAAATGGCGGTGAAATTTTATGCACAGAACAAGGTTTCGCTACCAAAGGTGCCGGTACAGATTTAAGGTCCAACTATATTTGCAACAGTTCTATTGCAGGTAATTAGAATTTTCGTTTTATTCTGCAATTGAATTTATCGATTACGTTTGCTTTAGCTTTGGAGGAAGCTGATGCCGTGCTGTTGATCGGTACAAATCCTCGATATGAAGCTCCTTTGGTTAATACACGTTTACGTAAGGCCTACGTACATAATGAATTGGAATTGGCCTCCATTGGCACAAGCGTGGATCTCTCGTATAAACATCAGGATTTGGGTGAAGATGCTAGTTTAATTAATGATGTCTGCAGCGGAACACATCCCTTCGCTAAAGTATTACAATCAGCCAAAAAACCGGCAGTCATCATTGGTGCTGCTGTGCTGGAACGGCCTGACGGCTCTGGTATACTTGCCACAGTGACTGGTTTCTGCAAAAAATTGAATAAGCCTGTAAGTTCATGGAACGATTTCTTCAACATTTGCATATTTTCATATCCATCTCAGAAGAGAGCGCCTCGCTATCTATGGGAGATGATCGATAGCAGTACATGTCAAGTTTATGCTTGTCTTATTTTTGTTTATTTAGAACTGGAATTCACTAAATGTTTTACAAAACAATGCGGCTCAAACTGGCGCTTACGATGTCGGCTATCAGGCGGGCTATCAAGCCCTTCTCAAGTTCCAGCCAAAAGTTTTATTTTTGTTGGGAGCAGACGCTGGTAAAATTACGCGAGAACAATTACCCAAAGATTGTTTCGTTGTGTACATAGGATCTCACGGTGATAATGGTGCGTCCATGGCGGATGCTGTTCTACCGGGGGCTGCTTATACCGAAAAAACGGCAATTTACGTTAACACTGAAGGTCGTTCTCAACAAACTTTAACTGCTGTGACACCACCCGGTATGGCTCGCGAGGATTGGAAGATAATTCGTGCTATTTCAGAAGTTGCCGGTAAATATTGATAATGAAATTATATTGGTTTTCTCTTAATAGTATACGTTTAACTTTAAGGTACTCCATTACCCTACGATACTATCGACGAATTGCGAAATCGAATTGAGGATATTGCACCACATTTAGTGCGGCTCGGTAAACTGGAATCAGCGACTTTTACCGGTTTTGAAGAGGAGCTGGTCACGGTTAGTTTTTAAATGAATTTAATTAATTACCATATTACGATTTGGATTTTTTATCATTTGTAGTCGAAAACGATTGACAGTTCAAAGGTGATTATTAAGTTAAAAGATCTGCGCGATTATTTCATGACCGATGCAATCTCGAGGTCTTCACCCACTATGGCAAAATGTATATCTGCAGTTGATAAAGAAACTAACAAAAAACAGCAGAAGATGCGCGCCACTTGTTAATTTTAATTCATGGGGCGTCCGTTATTTATATCTTTAAAAGCATATTTAAAGCAAAAGAGACAACTATTAAATAAATACAAAGATTACATTATCACGCAAAAAAATAGTTAAAAATCGATGCGGTATGAGAGGCGATAGCAAAAGTATCAATGAAATAATCAATTCAACAACAAAGCGGACAATCCGACTTGAGTGGTAAATGAGTGAAAAATAATAATTATTTAGAAAAATAAAAGAAATTGATGCGTTAGTAGCTATTTTTTCCTCCTTTCTTCTTTAAGTGTAACACAATATATAATAACACATATATTTAAAAAATAAATTAAACTAATATCCAAACTAAAATTTAATATTTATTAGAATGAACGTTAAATGCAAAATGGAATATAACAGAAAATTAATAGAATAATAAAATGACGCAATTTCAATTAACGGTGACAAATGAAGACGAACGTATTTATAAGAAATGAAGATCAATCTCATATTAAATTGCAATTTAATAGACGCAACATGAAAATGGTAGTAAATATTTAAACACAAGATAAGAGTCAAGTAAAGAAAGAAAATATTCACGGATTTTCGTAAAGTAAATTCAATGAGGCTCTGTATTGACTAAAGAAATTACGAAAATTGACTTCATTTTCTTTATCTTCCTCATCAGTTATTTCCATCTTAGCGGCTGCAGGCATTTGTGGAAACTCTGGCCGCTGTGCTGGCGCGGCAGCTTGCTCGGCGATTGCATTTGAATAATTTATATCCTGTGGTTTCGTTTCAGCATCTCTAATAGGTCTAGTTATCAAGTTTTTGTAACTACCACCTTTAAAATTTAGGAATTCATCCATGAAAGCATCAACTTCGGTATCCATACTATTCTGATGGGTTTGTGTACCGGTTATGCCTTCTTCTACGCAATTAACATTGTCTTGTCCTTCATCAGCCTTGAAAATGGGTTCAAGGCCCGACGAGAATTTCAAAGTTGGTAAATTGCGTTGCCCTATAGGCGTTGAAGTCGAAGTCATATCCAACGGTAAACCGTCAACGTATTTTTGAGTTTCGGTTTGTGATACTTGTTCACGTTCGGGCGGCAACACATTTATGTTAGAAGTCCTAATCAAAAATAGTGCAATTCGATTTTATTGCTCACATATATAAAATTAAGCTTACCATGATTCAACTTCGACTTTCTTCGCTTCCATTGAACAGTCTTCATTTGCTGTTGGCAAATAATCACCGAAGAAGCGCACAATCAATTCTTTGCTGCAATTGCCGTAATAACCAGCATATTCTGGGCGAAAGTCGTTCTGCAATTTTAATACGGAATCATTAGGATTCTCGTAAATATCGGCCGGCAATTCGATCACTTGTTCTTCAGTAGCGACGTTACTACACTTTCGACGGCCTAATTTAGGTTTAATACGATGTGGTTTGGCAGTCAGCTTATTTGAAGCTTCTAATTTCTCTTGCAGCATATGCGTCATACTTTGAAATTGTAATATGGTTTGAAAGTGCAAGCGACTCTTTTGAATTTCTGATAAGCCACCGTGAAACATAAAGCACAAATCCCCCTTCATACGCTCGGCAGCGCGTGTATTAAAAGCATCGAATGGTTTATGAGAGGCATTTTTATTTTTGTTTAAATCGTCATTATTGAAAGCTCCTCCTCCCATATTCATTGACTTGTCAGCGAATATATGATAAGCGGATCGTCGAACTTTGGGTACTAAATCCAAGCGATGTCTTTTAAAATTCTCATTTTTATATTGCAACAATAAAATTTCCCCGACTTCAGGCATCATATTCAATCGCTGAAATTGAAATTCCTCTAAATGGGTTAAGAAAATTGAACGATTTTTTATATAAAATATGGATCGCGTTGAATTTAGATAATCCTCCAATGCTACTAACTCCAATAATATAACTGTGCCGTCGCGATTCCAGCGTAGAAAATCGCAAAAATCTAAATGGATAACTAACCACAATTTATATGGAAATGGAAAACTCATAATATCCTGACGTGTTATATTTAAAGACTCCATATTTATTATATATTAATAGCAAGGGTCAGCAAGTTCGAGAATGTGTGGCTGTTAGTAAGGTTAGGAAGAAAAATTGTTTTTCAAATAGACAAAAAAAAAAATTAATTAAAATCTAATGAGAACTTACCTTTCCAAATGTTGAACGACAATTAAATTTTAAATTGATGAGATTACAATATTGTAGGTAGAGCCAGCGCTGCCAAATATAAATTAAAAGAAGAATTGCCATATTTATGAAAAATTACTTCAGAATTTACATATATTTGACAACATTTCTGCCCTTTTATCAAAAAATGACGATTGAAATGAACTCAAAACATATGAAAATTTCGTTCTTATAAGCTGTGATTTTTCTCATATTCCTTATTACGGGCCTATCTCATTACAAAATTGAAACTGACATTGGTCTGCTTATGCTCCCTAAGCCCTAAGCCCGAGACGACGTGGATAGACCGGGTAGTCCTCTATACTTACTATAAATGAAAAGTTTTTTTTTTATATACAAAATGATAAGTGCTATTTCGCAAATTCAGTTCACTGTGTAAGTGCATGAAAGGATAGTTCGCTTGTATTGTAATGTCGGATTTTTACCTATTTATTTAAGTCTTTTTGAAATTAATAGCTTTATTCTGCGCATTGTCGCAAACCATATGTTTCTGTTAAACAGGTGAACTGCTGTTCTTGTAATTTTTTAATGCTTTTTTGGTGTTCTGGCGTTAAAGTATATGTTCAGACATGATGACATGGCTTGCTTTTCGACAGGTCACAGTGAATATATAACAGTGTGCAGTGCAATAGTACAGGCAAGATTTTTACAAATTGTAAGTAATTATAGAAGAAAAGTACAGTAAAAGCTCCTTATTCGCGCTTCCTTCTTTCCCGTTTTCACTATTCGCGAATTAAAAAAAATTAAAAAAATTGCTATGGTCGCGACAATAAATTTCTTTATTCGCAGATCTAATAAGTACATACATAATAATAAAAGGATTCTAATAGGTATCCAATCACCATTTCGCATTCACGGTTTCAGTATTCGCGGCACATATACCCGATGAGTAAAGAACTTTTACTGTATAAATAATGGAAAAAAAATAATTACAATGTTTTTATGTGATTTTGTGGAAAAAAGCTTCTTTTTTTATTAATTTATTTTACTGAACAATTTCATTACATTGCTAAAATATTTGAGAAATATGTACGACTCCACCCAACTTCAGAGTCCTCAAATTAAGGTGTAGGTGTTTTTTCAAAAGAAGACTTTTGGATTATAGCCAGGTAAACGAAGCGTATGTAGTTCATGCGCGCTGCACTTTGCATAACAACCTAACGGAAAGAGGAACTGATGCTGAAATGAACTCAGAATTAACTGATTTTGTGGACGAAGCTATAAGCAGTAACAATCTAACCGGTATCCAAAGAGAAGGAAAAAGGAATTTGAACAAATTACATAAACATATTGTAATGCATATTAAACAAAATATTTATTTCATGATAAAAACGTTTTCAAAACTTCATTTAAAAAAATAAAAATATCTAAACAACTTCATTTAAAAAGATATAAACATTTAAAAATTTCCAGTTTATTATTATTATTATTATTTTAATTTTAGAGTAATGAATTGAATTCTTAGACTAAAAAAAAGACATTGAGCACTAGCAACACAGGCTATCGGCTCTAATTTAAATAAATGGATATTAGATAATAAGCTTAGTAGTATTAATAAAGTAAAATATTGGATTGATATTCTGTTCTGAAGCTGATTGTAGAATGTCCACGTGGTTAATTGTTCCAAATGCAATACTTGAGGCAGTCGCAGAGAATGTGCTTTATAGTAAGAGTTTGTCCACAACAGCAGATTGGGGGAGAAGACTTCTTCAGGATCCATTGGTGAGTTGCAATTGTATGACCAAGGCGAATTCTCGAAAATGTTTGGATCTTGGTTTGCTCAATCTTTGTTGGATATAAAGGTGGAGTTAATTGAAGGTTAATAAAAGAGTAGTGTTGATGATGGTATTTTAAATTTCCTTCTGCAATTTTCTCTTTAACTTTTCTTCCAATGTACCTTTGAAGATCCAACTTTTCCATGACATCATCCATAATTAGAGGAGCAGAAGCAGCATACTTTGCCGCTCGATCAGCCTACTCATTTTCCAATAAACCGATGTGACTTAGTACCCACAACACTTTAATTTTTCCCTCGGGTGTAGTAATTATATTTCTTAATTTGTTGATGGTGCTCCATCTCGAAGTCGAAGGGTTCCGAATAGCTTCTAATACAGACAAACTGTCGGTGACAATGACGGTTTTCAATTTGTTTTTATGGGCAAGGTTCGCAGCGTGAAGGATAGCTCTGGCTTCGGTTATGAAAGTTGAAGTGCTTTCGTGAAATATGTGGTTGAGAAGAACCCGTCCTGTAGCATCTACCACCGCACAAGCAGGAGGCAGACCAGGAGATTTTGAGCCATCTGTGTACAAAAGATTCCAACCAGCATTGTCCAATACTTGGGTTTTCGCAGCTATTAGATTCCTGAAGACGTAATTTGGAGTATCTAGACAGTGAGATGTCAAAAGAGCAGTCTTTCAAAATCCAGAGAGGTTTAAAAGACTTAAAAATAAGTAAAAAAAAATTTTCGATGAAATTTTTCCCATGATTTAAAGACAACACTTTTCTATATTTTCGTTTATAGTTACTTCTTTTCATATCTGCGCACTTTGGATAAATGCAGTCATACCGTTTAAATTTTCGATGTTGCTGAATACTAATCCTGCGGCAAGTGTGCAAAGTTAGACTTGTCTATTATAGGAATAAAATCATTTTCCGCATTGATCGCGGCTTGTCTGAAATTTAGTACGTTGATGTGTTTTGACGTAAGAACGGACACTATTGGCGCTATATAATGCTTTATTTTAAAAAGTCGTTATATATCGCCGTTATATATTTCGTTATACTGATCGATTCGGAATTGTTTTCTAAGTCAGGCTTGTAAAATTGACGCCAACTTTTATATCCAACATGACTTGAGATAACAAGTGCATACTAACTTGATCTCAGCTTGTCTGTGCGACTTGTTTCCTTTTAAGATATTTTTTTAATGAAATTTGGTAAGTATATTGGGTCACGGACGGACACTTTCGAAAATGGTTCGCATTCGACCACTTTTTCGATCACAACCCATTTTGAAATGTCGTATTTAATGGCCGGTCATGCCAGCCTATGGTAGTTTTACTTGCTTTGTTTTTATTTAATATCAAGGCACGATTTTATAATAAATTTTTGCAATATTTTATTTGACATTTTATTAACAACTATTTAGAATTCATTCCGCTTTACAGCGTAGTAATTTTTCGAGGCATTATATATATTATTATATGATGTCCTTCCTCTCTACGCTAATCGTATTAGAGGAATGCCATCTAATTAGGAAAATATTACAATCAATATCAATCCATTCATCCAAAGTATAAGTTGATTTCATATTTGTGTTCCACATTGCTTATGAGTTGCTTGTAATTTTACCAATTGGAATCTTTGAATTATTTCTATGTTGCAAACCTGCAGATTCCATTAAGAATAAAATCATATTTTAACTTTTTGATTAAGTGACAGATATGGGAATAAAACATATGCACCATATATGAGAATCCGATGAGTTTCCGATTCCAATATTAAGGACTATGGCTTGTAATAAAAACATAGGCACTAAGCAAACAAATGGACGCATTTGTTATCTTTTGACTTACGACAGGTCGTAGACGTATTATCAACTTAATTGCCGCTTGCAATAAAATTTGATTATTACTCTGTTTTAATGTTTCTCAATAGAAAAAATATATTGCACTTATTAAGGAGAATTGCGTTACGGCGGTAGATGAAATCAATGCAGTTACCGTTAAATGAATATACAAAAACACAAATGAATTTAGAATATCTGCCCCGCAACTAATTTGCTTAATAAACTAAAGCTGTACGTTAAGACATGCACATGTCAAACTGACATACATTTATTGTTAAACTTGATATTAAAAAATCGCACACACTCTGACGGCAAGCTTTCAGTGAAATTGATCACATTTGAAAGACTTTCTATTAAATCTCTTGGACATCAATTACTAGTTTAATGTCTAAAAAAGATCCTGCGGGATTATAGATGTTTGAAGCAAAATTTGGTAAATCCACGTAAAGGCTGTTAGAAGTAATTATAAGCATTGCTTGCCATCATTTCTTGTACATTTCAAAGCTTTGGCCATATTATTTTTTTGCTCCTAATGCCATCTCCTTCTAATGGAAATTTCAATCCTTTAGATGTGCATCGAAAAGTAAACAAAATCGGAAGCCAATTCGTAAATGTGAAAGGACAAAAAAAAAAAAAAAAAATTCAACCAATGACGTTACTTACCTAATCTTGGCTTATGTTTTTAAGATCGCAAAGAATATTTTCCTCTTAAGGCGTTCTCTTCATTTTCATCATCAAAGCAATTGGAAAAGTGAAGTGAAGAAGTGAATCGAACTGTTGCCATGATTGCAAAAATTTCGATAAAAAATTGAAGCTTGGCATATATATTCTCATTTTGCCCACATTAAGCAGAAAATTATATTTAATAGTTCTTAGCATATATTGTTCGAGAACTCGAGAAAAAACGGTTATATTGATCATCTAAAACTTCGGTGGAGAAATTCTCGTAGTCAATTGCGAAACAACCCAATAGACAAACGTCTTTAACCCAGTTGAAAAATGATCTCGACAGCTCAAGTGACCGGCATGCTTACCGTAAAATAAATATTTTGCACGTTTATAGTATACGACTTTGGTGCGATGTATAACGTAGAGTCGCCCTAAAATGGGTATAATTAGTCATAGTTTTTCTTAGTTTCAGCCTCTTTATTATCTTAGGGGGTTATATAATCTGAGGGGTTTTTCCGTTTTTCTTCCTTTAAATACTGAAAACGTGATAAAGGAAAACAATTGTGGGCGGTACCAAATTTTGAAATGATTCAAAATTTTGAGTTTTCGAACATACTACGAATGCTTGAAACTTTAAATGCGTGATTCTTCCGCTTGCCGCACGACTACTGGCTTCAAATTTCATCCCGTCGCCTTAAATTTTATGTGTTCAGTTATGCAGGATTTTTTCACTAAATTATAAATAGTTAGGTTATTCGATGAGCGATTTTTCGAAGTGAAATTGACTAGTTCTCTACCCTGCATCACTTAAGGCAACAAGCGCACATTAAGTTTGGACGGATATACACAATAGTCAAAAGCTGCTGAAATTGACTCACCTTTCACTGTAGCGCTCAAGAATCATTTCCTGAATTGATGTTCGCTTGCGGGCAGATAGTCCTGTTTTCTGGGGGTGAACTTGCAAGTCGCAGGGGGAATTGACGCCCTACCCTACAGCGTTTAAATTAAAGATATATTAAGTTTGGGTGAATGTATATAACACCCGCAAGGACTTGAGATGGACCCACCTTTTATTATAGCGATCCAGTCAGAATTACCTTCTGAATCGATCTAAGCTTGTCGGTCCGACTTGTTTTTTTGTATTCAACCTACAGGCCGCATTGACATTGGAGACATTTTTGATAAAATTTGGTACATCGACCATTTCTGGACGAACGCTATTGAAATTGATTCCGGTCAGACCACTTTTTCAACGACTTGCTGCATGTCAATTTATTTTGAAAATTTAACATGCGAATAAGTATAAGGTGGTGTAGGGTGTATTTAGTTTAATGGTGGTTCGTGCCCAAATTTTTAATGGTTTTTTTTTAAATTTTTTTAAATTTTGTTAGAAAAATAATAAAATCTTCCTGCCGAAAGCAAGTGGCTCTATAATTACCTGGCATTGACTGGCTTAGTTACTAACTATTAACAAAATTGACACAGACGATTATTAAACTTTTATTTTTTGCTCTATACAAGCGAATAGAATCAGAAAAACAAAAGTACAAACGCAATTTCTGTAAACGAACAACGTGTTATGCGCAATGGTAGTGCTGAACATAGCGATGACAGTTAAAAAAAAAAATTAAATAAAATTTTTCTATTATATATTAGTTGAAAATTTTTTATTAGTCTTGACTTATTTTTATGCTATTTAAGTGACCATGGCGGTGCATGTATTAAGAATATAAGAGTAACGGGATTCGCCAATTTTCTCATTTCCAAAGTAACGGTTCAAAGATTCCATAAATTATGCATTTTTTCTTTTGCTTATTCCGATATCGTCCAAGAGAACTTTAGGAAAATTTCGATAAATTTATATATTGGATACATTTTTGATTAAAATGGATTCAATCAGTCCACACAATTAAGAAGAAGAAGAATTTTTATATATGTTTACCTTAGACGGAGAGAAAGTTCAACTTTCAAGCGAATGTCGCTTTCTTGCTTTTTTCTTTTCTTTTCTTTTCTTTTCTTTTATTTTTTTTTCTTACTTTTAATTTATTTGAAGACTTGAATTACATTCGTTATGTAATCGATAACACAAAAACAAATATCGTTATAGAAAAGTTCATAAGCATAACAATCATTAGATATATATATATATGAAGAGAGAACGAGAGAGTAAAGAAAATTAAAAATAGTTTTATTGTTTAATTGCTTTGTAGTTATTGTGTATTTGCTTGCATTCATTAATGTAAAATGTAAAATATTTGTCGTCTCCTATGTACATAAAAGTATTACATATTACCTTACTAACATTTATCACATAAAAAGTATACAAAAACATAAATACGTATATATATATATATATATATATATATATATATATATATATATAGTAGAGACACTATTATTTTATACTTGTTAGATATATACGTCTTCTTAAAATAATATTCAAAACCAATAAGCAGCTGAAGGTCGTTGTAAAGTAAATGTTGAACACATACACACAAAAAAAGTATCGTCATTCATCCGTTTACTACAATTATTTTATATTTAAATCAAGGAAATGTTCACCCAAAGGATCTCGATTAACAACTCAATGGTCGTGGGCTCAAACCTTATATGTCGTACAAGTTCTCAATAAAGTCCACAGCTTGAGATGTTTCTAATGTTTCAAGATTTTAGTCTTACAATTTACTTCTCTGGCCAAACAAACTAATTATAATAATAATAATAAAAATACAACAATTTTTAGTTTTGATTAATAAAAGTCTTTTAACATAAAATATTTTCTCTTTTTTAACGAATTTTCAATTTCCACTTATTTCGTTCTACTTATGCAAATAGTTTTGTTTATAACGTTTGTCACTTTTTAGTCTGCAAAAGTTTCTGACTACTTTTATCCCCATAACATTATTATGCAGTGAGCGTCAATGCTAAATGTGCAAATGAAGAATATAATTCGGAATAACATTTTCCGAAATTAAAATGCTTCATTTGATGGTTTAGCAAAGGAAAACAATACCTTACAGGGATCCCGCTCTAGCTTAAGTATGTTAAGCAGACTAAAGGTAACATTGCACTTTCTATTACATATATACAAATGAATTCCTTCCACTGAAATTGTTTGCGTCATAAAACCTACACGATGCGTGCGATTTATCCGATATTTCAAATGCAGATAACTGACAGATATTGATGTTCGAACGATGTAATTTGAGTTGGTTACAAGTTGTCGTTCAGTATATATTGAAGTTTGAAAAGATGAATGTCATTCACGGCACTGCGTTTTTCTATGTTTTTAACTGGATTAACCTAAAAAAGAATGCACCTGAAGGGACTAGGGAAATGATTAAGTTGGCAACGGAAGCTACAAAACATTTACAAAGCGAAACGACATAAAAACGATAAAAATTCGCAAATTTTCCCTCTATCTCCTGTAAAAATTACTATGAAAATATTTTTCAACTTAAACTGTTAAATTTTAACGCAACCTTTTTATTCTCCAGACCTAGCACCTTCTGATTACCTATTCTACCTATTCAGAACGATGCAGTTGCAGATGTCCGAAAATAGCTATTTCGCCTCCAAACCAGCAAGTTTCTACAGTGAGGGCATAACCTTGAGGCCATAGCCTGCCCGAGAAATGTTATAAGACCATAGATAATGCTGGTGGATATTTTGCTTATTAAGCTTTATAACAAGTATATTTTAAATAAAAATGGATTTTATTGAAGAACAGAAGGAACTGGTTTGTACCCTTATTGTATTCTCTTGTACCGAGTTTGCAATTACCGCTTTATCCTATCAAATGAAATACCTATCTTGATCATGTTCAATTTTTTGAAGAGGAAAAAAGACCAATTCTGCAGAAATAGAGATAGGAAGAGGACACGTTTTTAAGGCCCAACAACATTTTTTCGGCATATTGGTCTATTAGTTAAACATATCTTTTTTCCTGTTTGGGTCAACGGGTCTTTGAATTCGAGACACCTAAGTATAAGTAATTGATTACTGATATTCCAAGCGATCTTTACATATTTTACCCTGTTACCTATTTTTCGCAAGAGCCTTACTAAAGTTTTTAGGGTTGTATATAAATTGTTACGGTGCGTTCGATCAATGTTTGTAGAGAATAAGAAAATATATCCCGAAAATTTCGCAACATATGACTATATTTGATTAGCACGACTCGCAGAATCGCGGGATCGCTTCAATTACCTTTGTTCGGTTGCATGTCCACCCATTGAAAAGACACCGATGATTTTAAAATTTATCCGAGAGGGAAAACCTAATTAAAAATTATTTCTTATCAGTTTCACATCAGTTCAAATTCGAACATCTACAAACTTGGTTCATGGGTCTGCCCAAAGGTGATAGGATTAGAATTTGAAGACCTCGCCATCCTATATATACAATTGCCAGAAGAAGGGAAAAAGGCATCGTGTAGTAATAAGGTAGAAAAATGTAAATATATCTTAAATATGATTTTAAAAACTTTATATTTAAGAAATGTTGGCAGAACGTTGCAAAAATCCGATTTAATACAGTATATATGATTAGCACGATGCGATATGTGATCCATATATCGAAGATGTATGTTCTATTTTACAATTAAATAATCGCACAAAGAAGTTAATAGCGGATATGAATAAATTCAGCCCAAAATGAATTGATTTTGTTTTTCCCTTTTAACATCTGAACTCTAACAAGTTTAGAATAACAGTATCAGTATAAAGTTCAAGTGCTTGTAAAGTTGATTCAAAAATTAATTTGATAAAAAATTATAAATATTGATAATCAATCGAAATGTAAAAGAAAAATAAAAAAAAAAAATAATAATAATAATAATAATAATAATAATAATAATAGTAATAATAATCGTTAATAAAATATGATAGATAACAAAAATAACTGGAAACAAAAATCGAAAGCGTTTAAAAGGAGCAAAGTACCACAGACAACGATCCATTTTAGCTCTACCAAATACTTCTTTTACTTTAGATAAGCAATATTTTAAAGAACTTTTAGGAGACAATCGATTTCAAAATGAAAAGTTTATAAAATCTTTATATATATATATATAAAAAAAAAAAAAAATCAATCAGATAGATTTAGAAAAATTATTTAAACTTAAATATTTAAAATAGGTAAACACACAATAGGGGGGAGCTTAGATTGTATAACTTTTTTTCTTTTTTAGAGTTGCGTCTATTTGTATGAAGTTAACTCAAAAGTGTTATGTATTATTATTTATCTAATTTTTTTTCTAATAATAATTGGCTTAAAAACGAATTTATATCTTTTTTTCTTTTCATTTTAATCTAGTGCAGAGAACTACCATAAAAATATATTTGTAATTATAGACTTAATTCTCAATACAATTTATTTTCTCTAATTATAAAATTGTTTTTGCTTTTTTTTTTTTTTAACTTAAGAAATTCTCGTTTTTCTTTTCTGCAAATTCTATACCTACAAGATTTATATATATATACGCGTGTATATATATACGCATATATATATGTATGTATATGTAAACAAAAACATAGGCTAAAAGTGGAAATATGTAACAAGCTACACACAAACCGTATTGAACACGCTAATCTGAAGGCAAATAGGTTATGTTTATAAATATTTTTTATTGTTATTATTATTTTATAGCTTTTTATTATAGAAAAAATAAGAAGATATTCTTAAAAAAAAATTGGGGCAAAACGTCTTTTTCATATATTAAACTCATACATATATCGAAAATAATTAAATAGACTACATTATATATAGATTATATATGTATATATATGTATACAGTACACACACACACATATATATATATATATATATATACATATTTATTATATATGTATATATATATATATATATGTATATATACATATTTATTATATATGTATATATATATATATATATATGTATATATACACTACACATATATATTATACATACATAATGGGCTAGACTCAAAAAATTATGTAGAAACAATTGTATAAATATGTTAACATTTTTAAATAAAATATATAAAATTAAATTTAATGTTTTTCGATTAAAGAATTATTATATTTTATGGTATTGTAGTCGCAAATATCAATTTTATTTTCTTGATGTTATTAGGATATATATGTAAACATCACAAGATTTTTCTCGTATGCACTTTCTCAACTTTTCGGTTTTTCATTTCAACTTTTTTATGGCTTAATTTTTTCCAATACATTTGCTTTGCTTTGTCTAATTGGATATCTTAACAAATCTTCATTTTTATCAGATATTTCAGATTTTTTTTAGCGTGTTCTAAATAATTATAATTACTATTGTTGATTGTTTTGTGTTTTTTGTTTTTCTTTTAATTTTTAGATTTTATTAAATTTTGTTAATTATCGTTTAATTTAAATTAAATTTCATTAATTTATTATGCCATTTTTTTGTTTGTTTTTTTTTTTTTTTTGTTTTTGTTTTTTTTTTTTTTTTTGTTTATTTTTGTTTTCCTTTTTTTCCGTATTTTTTCTTTTTTTAATTTAAATTTGTCCTACCAACTCCTGTATGCTACGCAATAGATCTTCCATATTTCACAAGAGATCTCTGTGAAATACCCAAGTCTGTTTTGTATGGGCAAACTTATGTGATAACCATTGTGCTTCCAGTAAACTGAAACGATCTTGACTCAAATACAACGGTTTACCGCGCCTAAGATGACAACAAAATTAAAAATACATTTGAAAAGTTTATGATTAAAAAAAAGCACTTACTTTAGATCACGATCTTCTTCATCAAAATCGTCTAAATATAAAGAACCCCATAGGCAAGCTCGTCGACCGCGTATAACAATGATATATGTTGAGGTGACAACCAAAAATATGCCAATACCACCACCGCAAATAATTGTGTGCTGATAAATATTAAATGATTTAAGATAACAAATTATAAAGAGAATTCATTCTGCGACCTATATTTCTATATTCAATATCGTTATATTGACTACAATAACAATTTCAAAGCATTTTATTAATTGAAAGCCAATCATTTCACTGATCAGGAATACCTCTATGATGAATTTTTAAAATAATCTTAGTAAACATATATGTTCTATATCTACAAGATCATTCAGTTCGAAAGTTTACAATCGAAAGGTTACACTTTTCGACATATTGTGTGCGCTTTCGAATCTGATTTTTGGCGACTATTCTAAAATTTATATGAGATATGTTTTCTACCCAAAAAAAATAAAAAATAAAAAAATAAAATACGCTCTATGGGACTGACAAATACACGATTGCCATTGAAACGATTTCGTACTCCTTTGATAATCCTATATACATATATACGCTGAAAAATGTATTGGTTCTGGATACCACTAAATTTAACGCTTAAACGAATAATACTTTCCTATTTTTTAACAATGGATAAGAAGATAAGAATTTATATAATACTTACTCTAACCGCTTCACAGCAATCTTTCTCGACGCAACAGTTCTGTTTTAAACAAACTATTGTGCCACAAAGTAGGCATATTGAACTTTCCTTTGGTACTTTATAACAATTTAAACATGGTCGTTCATGATAATACTGAAAATGGACAATGGAAAATTATATATGCAAATTAGATGTTGCGTAATGTTGTGCAAGCAATCTATAGTACCGTAAATAAACGTTCATATTCGCGCGGTAGTTCCAATAACTTTGGTTGCTGCCAAGCGACATGTTGATTAATCATAACTAATTCGCCAATTGTGTCTAATGGTGGTCTTATATTCATTAGCTGCTCGCACCAGAATTTAGGTAAGGATTCTTCGGTACCACGTATAAAGCAAAGACCTTTGGAAGCATTAAAACAATCCCAATCCATTGAATCGGTGACCAGCTCAAGATAATACAGCAGGCGAACGAATTCCAATCCGGGTGCGGATATTTCCGGCATATCATGACGATATAAATGTTGACGTAACAGAGCCGCAATTCGAAGAAATGGTAAGCATAGTGTTTGCAATTGCATTTCCATCGATTTTAAGTTAACATAGACATTGCAAACAGAATTGTTGGACGACGATGGCGAGATGTTTAAGGAAGTGTTAGAAAAAGTCGCTGAAGCCGCCGCTGACGTGGAAGGTATGCTTTCACGCCTTAGATGAGTTAAGCGATTAGTGTGCTTTAAGACTAACGCCATCGAGCGACCTAAGTAGGAAATGTTGGTAGGTAATGCTGGTAAAACCGAGCTGCGGCGGCTTGAAGCTGGACTCAGTTCGGCCGAGGGTGTGATATTAAAATGGGACATAATATAGTCGCACTCGAGATCATTAAGGCTTACGCATAGTTGCAGAATAATTTGGTAGTATAACAGATTATACATTACTTTGACCATACAAGTGAAAAATTCTGCAAAAGAAAAAATAAAACATATATATTATTCTATGTTCAGGTTTTTCTCGAATAAATCCTACCTTGATCCAGATGCAACGGAGCCAATAGTATAAACTTCAATAACAATGCTATCGGATCTGCCAAAAGACTCGGTATCACTTCACGGCAATGCGCAGGTGCTGGCGCTGTTTCAGTTACTGTCATACCCGCTAATGAAGCCCAAGAACTCCACAATGGCCATTCCGCAAGCACCCGCACATGGACTGACAGTACATGCAATAGCGGTACTATACATTCTCGTTTTGGTTTGTAGCGAGTAGCATTAATTGAGCATAGTGAGCCTCCTCTTTGGATAATTTCTGATTCCAAATTAGTGCGAGCTATTGACGTCACGAATATAAACAAACTACGAAACGTCGGGGGTACACGTTTCATTTTACCATGCGTTATATTAGTCATGTCTTTCATGGCACGGCCCATGGCTTCCGATAGCTTGGTAGAAGTCTGCTGAAAAAATATATTTCAACTTAATCTCATTTTAATCTCAGTTGTCTTAACTTACCGGTGGTTTCTCATTCTCCTTAATAAGATTTGTTAGCTCTGCCACAAGTTGCTCAAATGATTGAACACCCGATCTTACCATTGGTGTTGGTCTATCCAATTGTGGACTCAAAGGCAATACCGAATTTGACAATTGCCGACATACAGGACAGTAAAACTCACCAAGTTCATGTAAATGTTGCCTTTGTGTGGCATACAAAGTTTTGAGGTAAGCATCTAAACAACTGAGATGAACGTGGTGACCACACGATTGCACGTGAACACCATTCTCGTAAGCCATGTTATTTGACAAATACCACGACTCTTCTCCGTATTTTAAGCTTAACAGTTCTGTGCGACGATTAAATTCGTTGGCTAAACGTGAGCTGTGCTTAAGACGTTCTTCATCGTCAGAACATAAAGGTAAAGGCAGGCGCTCAGGACTCCGTCTGCGATGACCCACAATGCCACTTGATTCCACCAAAACAACAAGGCCAATGGGATTCGATTCAGTACTCGCTGACGTACAATTACAAATTATACAATCATATTCTTTTTCACGAGGTTGTTCTTCATATATTTCATCTTCATCGTCAATACCAGTGTCCATATTATTGGCCGCTGCGGTCTGCATGAACTCTTTTTGTTTATTGGCAAATTCTTGCATCATTTTCATTTGCCTTTCGCGTGCTCTTTTACGACGTTCTTCCTTCTCTTTGGCTTCACGTGCCTTCTGCTCAGCCTGCTTTTCTCTTTGATTAGGCCAAAGGCGTTGGCGTATTTCGTCGATATTTTCGGCACACAATTCGTCGTGTTTCGCTATTTTTCTTAATAAATTACCAATAAAGTGTGGACCGTCACCTATACGTGAATCTGATACTTTAATTTGTCTCCTCTTTGGAAACTGGGTTGAACTTTGACTAGAGGCTGCTGCTGAAGAGGTACTGGCTCCCTCATCGTAATCAATATCCATGTTTTGTGTGGCGGTGTGTTCTTCATCATATATATATTCTTCGTCACCATCAGTTAGAGAGAAACTATCCAAGGTTCCGCTAAGCTGAGAATGTAATTTAAGTAATAGAGAGAGTATGCTCTCCTCAATCGGAACCTCATCTTTGGGGCTATCAATTGCATTATCTACAGTTCGTTTACGATTTATATTTTCATAAGGTCGGCGTGTGCCTATATGACCTATAGCTGTCACGCCGGGTACCATTGGATTAGAAGGCACGATATCTCTGTTACTACTGGGTAATAGAGAAACAGGTTGTACTCGAGGAAAAGGCATAAGCATACCCATAGAGGAGCTATTTGTAGGGGAGAACATTTCATTTTGTTGTTGCCTCTGATTGTGTGGCTGGTGTTGATTTGCGAGTCTGGTGCTATTGTTACCGGATATGTTTGCATTATCAGGTAAAGCTACTTCCATTCCCGTCTCTGGCAAAGTAATGGGTTGCAATGAAAATCGAAATTCCACGGCAGGAGTCGAACCAACATTTTCTAGTGCATTGTTAGTTTCTCTAAGAGAATCGTCGTCTTGACTATCTTGACGGATAACTAAACCAGTTTCGGGTACTACTGAAAGATCAGGCGGTAGAGCTACTTCCATGTTTTGTAAGCGCATCGGTACAATAGCGGTAGAAGTTGCGTTTGGTGACGGATTGCTTCGTACTACACTTAAGTTTCGAGCCATTTCTTCATATTCCCAGGTAGTGGACATATTCATAGCGGCATCTGATCCATCAGGAACTATATACTCTATATCTGAGTAAAAGGGATTAGAACGGAAATGGGCTGGTGTCACCTTAGGATCTTGTGATTTTAATGATATTTTCGATACCACATGGCGTAAATTACAACTAAGGTTATCAGTCGGATAACATTTGAACAACTTGGGTGGTTCTCTCCGCATACCATACGGATAACATGGTTTATGTTTGTCCTCACACTCAACAACGGCCGCTTTATCATTGCAGGAAAACTTTGTCTCCTCGCTAGTTTCAATAGCTACTTCTAAAAGAAATATAGCCAAGGCGAGCAAGTGTTCGGAAACATCCCGTGAGTATACCGCTCTATGAAGTATTGACAATATAGTAGAATGGAAGACTCGTGAGCCAAGAATGCGGCAAGGATCACTAAACGCTGGTCCCACTGGACGAGGCAAACGAAACGGCGGCCACAAATTACCGCTTACCGGCATTTTATTTTTTGATTTCACATAATTAGTGAATCGATCCAAAGACGACTGAAAATCTCTACGATGTACAGCCCTTAACAGAACGTGTAGAGGATCGTAATATTGTTCCCATACTTCGTCAATCGGTGTAAACAGACCTTGCTCCAAATTGTCTGAACCTGCCGACGGCGCTTTGTAGACAGACAATTGTTTCAGAAACGTTTCAAAATTCTTAGTGTGTACATTGCCCGACCTCTCAGGCATTAATTCAAGCAACTGAGAATGCGTTTTATTTTCAGTAGCGAGTAAAGCACTAATTTCGATAATGCATTGAGTGGCCTCATCATTTCCTAGATTAGTGCGACTTGTAACCAAAGTAGCCAGAAAAGTAAGAAATCCCTCCAGCATTGACGTCTGGTCTACTTTTTGTGGTTGTTTTAAAGGGGCCAACTCGAGCCATTGGCTGACACCAAACATATCAATAGCATGTTGTAAAAAGAACGACTGAGCCATATTCGTTGCACAAATTTGCAAAAAGAAAAGATCCATATCGGCCATTGAATTACAAAAATTTGCTTGTATATAAGTCATTGCTTGGCCTTTGATTTGCAAACCATTTCGCACCCATATACCGGCTAAAATCTCATAAAAGAAGCTCTGCAAAGACAAATAATTAAACAATAACTAATTGTTGTCGTCCTCTTCAAGCTACTGGGGTAAGGGAAATTGACCAGAATGTTGACCAGGATTTTCTTGAATATCACAAAAAATTGTATTTTCCTTCGACTAAATCTCAACTTGTCGAACGCAACATGGTCGCTTTTTTATTTTTATACTGTATACCACGTGGGGTACAGATTATGTTAAGTTTGTCGACGTATGTAACACGCATTATTATAGCGATCGATCCAAAATCCCAATCTGAATTGATCTAAGCCTGTCTGCCCATCTGTCCATCTGGCGTCTGTCCATGTAAATTTGTGCTCAAGTTACAGATCGCAATTTTCGAGATATTTTCGAATAAGAATTACGTTAGACGAAGTGGTGTAGGGTATTTAATGGTCGGCCTTGACCGAATATAATGTTTTTACTTGTTTTTTAATCAAACGGAACAAGACAAGAACATGGCATGACCTTCTCTGCAAGTCTAACCATATATGTGATTACATTGCTGACCGATATATGGTTAGCTAAGGCTACAACATAAAACATACTCAAAAAGCCTAACAACGATGCGGACGCGATTATTAATGGAAAAATTGATATATAAAGGACATTACGGTTCCTGACTTTTCAATATAATCCGACAACGGAGTAAAAGACAAGAATTTAAATTTCCTAATTTGTACATACTCTGCCTGACTGGCCGAGTAGGCAAAGAATTTCGACTAAATTTCAAGTGCGCTAGAGTTTCCAATAAAGCCGATAGCCTTGGACGCTAATGCATTAACACTTTAGTCTCAGAAATTATTCTCTCTCTAAGGTAACGGGTTATAGCAGGCATGAACAACCCGTGATATCAGCCCGTAATGTCGTCGAGTCTGGCCCGCTACCATTAGAATTTCGAACAATTCAATTTACATAAGAATGCTGCAAATGCGTTGTATCTACCTGTCTTCACTATCGGATCTTGTTCTGGTTCCCGCAGTGATATGAAAATTAAAATTTCCTTGTCGCCCCTGGACTAGTGTACGGCAGAATAGGAGTAACTAATTGATTATAGAGTTAAGTGGATAAAATAGTTTGTTGGCTTGAACTATTGAGCATCTAAATTTTTTATAAAACTTTAGTCTGGAAAAATGCACTAACTTTGTTTATGGTTGCTTCAGTGACAATTATCGACTCTCTTAAAAAAATTTCAAACCTCTACAACATAGTTATATATAGTTGATAGTTATTCGGTCCTTGAATTAAGTGGAGCACGACAAGTCCAAGCAAAGGAGAGACACATAATCAATATATTCGGGTCCCCAGTATGTTTCATTCAATCTTTGCATTGTTGCATGTTTACGTGAAAATATTATAGGATCCTATGTGTATTTTTATATTATTATATGAAATGAGTAAATAATGAACTTGAAATCCCTCAAAGAAGCTAAAGGAAAAGCTACAATATAACCGTAAAATATACGAGTACCTTTAAATATACGCTTTACATGGATGTTGGAGATTATAATTATAATCCGCATTTCAATTGAGTTACCAGCTTGAAAAATATATAAACAAGCTAAGCTGATGTACGTTTCTATGTGCTATAAGAATTCTTTATACTGAGCAACAAAACAAATGTATTTATTATTATTATTATTATTATTATAAATTTAGCCAGAGAATAAATTCTAAGACTAAAGTCTTAAAGCGCTAGCATCTAAGACTTTCGGCTTTATTAAAAACTGTACCGCACTTGAGATTTGAACCCATGACCATTGAGTTGCCAGTCGAGATTCGTCGCCTTCGTCCACTCAGGCGGATAAAACAAATGTAAATGCGAGCAGTTCCATGAAAGTTTATGAGAAGCAAGTAATATTTTAAGGTATGATGGCAGGACATACTTCGCAACAATAGTTACTTTAGTATGTGTAGTAATCCAAATGTGTGTGCAATAAAATGGTATGACATTGCACTCCATATAAATTCTGTATCAACTTCAAGTTTCTCTTATTGTACTCCTTTTTCTTCTAGAAAAGTCATATAAGAAAGAAAAGACGACAAGAGCGTATGCTGTTGTGAGATTAAAAATTTCCTCTCACATATGTGAATGCATCTTCACGCAATAAATGTGTATGCTTACAGTTGAATGACAGATTGCAGATGAAGTTGTAAATTTATACAATAAAAACTGCATAATGGGAGAGTAACAAACGAGAGAGAGAGAGAGTGAGAGAGTGAGAGTGAGAGAGAGAGAGAGCGTAGAGAAAAGTATTTACTCTCTAGAGTAGAGAAGGCTGACTGACACATCAGAAAATATTCATTAAATATTATAAAATGCTATAAAAAAGTATTTTGTATTTTAACGTTCGTGAGAAGTAGACGTCGAGCGGTTACTTTATATTTCTGTTTTCGAAATAAGAGAATAAAAAAAAGAGGACGACTGGTTTTTTTTTCTTTAATTTGGCTTTTAATATTATAAAACAACGTTGTTTGTTTTTTTTTTGTCTAGTCGAGATACCAAATGATTTTATTTTCATATGTGTTGTTAGAAGTAAACGAAAAAGTGAATAAAAAGCAAAAACTTGTTTTTACAATTTTGTTTTAAGCTGCCTTTGTAAAGCAAGAAACGTTAAAAATAAACCAAATTGAAAAATGAAATTATTACGAAGACTTCAATTGCTTGCTGCATTAACATTATCTTTAGTATTATTTTTGTCCGCACCCGCGCCAGCTAATGCTTTAGTGGACGATGCCTTGGACGTATTTCATATAGTTAAAGAAGTAACATTGACTGTTTTGAAAGCTTGGAATATAGTGCAAGAATCGCCTGGTATTCAAAATTTAGATTTTCCCTTAGCTAGAGAGAAGCAACGAAAGGTTTTAATCCGTCTTAAGGAAGTTAGTAAACAAATCGCACAAATCGAAGACCAGGTGATTACACAAAATTTTGATAAGATATGAAAACAAATTTATTCACATTATGTTTTTATTTTAAGCATGCCGAACAAATTGCCGTGGCAGTGGATTCAGTTAATAATTACGTTGAAAGTTATTTGAAATTGTTAGGCAGACGTACTGAAATGGCTGACATTATTAATCGAATATCGTCACGATTTCAACAAATGCAAAAATACGAAGCTTACCAGGAGAAATTGGAAGCATCAACATTATTGGATTTTGCAAAGTGGACAGTATCGCCAAACGCATATTCAGTACATCATCTAATGGAACGTTTATCATTGATAATGTTTGGGGCCGAAGACAAAATCACTTCGAGTAATATGTTTGATTTATTAATACAAAGCTATGAGGTAAAGATATATATCATCAACGTATTCCATTATCGAAAAGCACATCTTTACTTTAACGATTTTTAATGACAAAACAACAATTTTGATATTGAAACTTATCTACATAAAAAAGTCAGTCACGATTTCTGTACCAATATACAAATGTATACAGAACTACTTTCGTGCAGGCTTTTCAAGCTACTTTTTTAGTAAGGGTATTCAATCCAAACCACCCCGCCCCCCACAAATATCACGAATACATATATAATATATGTATGTGTGCATATATTGGGTAAAATGTGAAATGCATTGAAATGTAACCCGATGCTACCCGACAATGAATCTTAATACATTCTAAAAAGCATAGCAGACAATGAGTAAATAAAAGAATAAAAAATGTAATATAATCATTGTAAATGCGTGCGAATTAAGAATGAAAGAACATATTCTAAAAGAGTGAAAAATAAGAGTTTATATGTCTCAAATGAATGAATGAATGAATAACAAACCATTTAAAAAGAAAAAAAAACCATACAACACTTATAATTTACATTAAATATGTACATATTTATTTATATGCAACAACATGGAAAGACTTGAAGAAATTGTGATGAATCATCAAAACAACGACGACTTTTACTTAATGTAGAAAAAATTGTACGTTCGTTAACTCAAAACCGGTTACAAAATTATTCTTGATGAAACAAACTATAAATTTTGGCAAATATTTAAATGAATTGTTGCTTAAAATTTAGTACAATTTTTCTTTTTTTTTTTTTTTTAATATATGGTAATATATATTGAATGGTTACAAAAGTTGTATTGAAAAAATCCGATATGCGGCGGCGACCTTCTTTAAATGTCAGTGACCTAATTTAAGTAACTATTGGATAGTTTGAAAAGTGACAAAGTTTTCTTGTCTCGTCTGCCCATAAATATTTTATTAGCGATTGTTTGTTTTGACGATGACTGACATGCGTTTAATTAAAAGAGAAACCTAATTGAAATGAAAATGGGCGGCAAGAAGCTTTCATAAAATTAGTGAAAAAACAAAATCAATAACATGCATTAAGATATGCTTTCTTTACATGTTCCTGGATACTAATTTTTTAGAATTAAGCTAAGTGTGTATATGTAAATGGCAAAGCAATAAAATAGACTAAAGTGTTAAAAAAAAGGAGCAAACTTAAATATTTATATTTATGATATAAAATAAAATATCGTCATCGTCTCCAGCCAACTAAAATGAGAACAAAAACGTGAATATCATAAATGATAAAAATTTGCTTGCGCGAGAAAATAATGAAAAGAAGAAAAAATTCGTAGAAGGAACAAAATCACGACCTGGCGAGATCATAGATTATATTCATTGGTTTCTTTATAAATTTTCTCTTAAAAACAAAACTGAGATTTCTATTTAAGTTAAATGCGTTCTCGTGGTGGTAAAGCGTTTTTGTATGCATATTATGCTTATCAAGTAAAATCAACTTGACATGACGTCAGACGTTAATTGGAAACAATGGTCTCGAAAATGTGAGAAGTATGAAAATTGAAAAAAAAATGGAGATAACAGACGAGGAGAATACAACGTTTGCCAAACATGACTTTTATTAAAGTAAACCCTCGGGTATTTTTACGCCCCTTTCTTCCTAGATTTGCTTTCTCTTTTACTTAAAATTGTAATGTCGTGACTAACATGTAATTTAAACAATAATAAAAATAGTAGAGCCGAAATTGAAAGTTCCCGAAAATCCTCTTAATAATAAGAACGGGGTACAAACAACATACTGTGAAAACCATTCCTAAGCAAAGATATTAAATAGAATTCTTGCTATAGGCGTGTACACGTAAACCTCTTTCCAACAGATAAAAGAGAATACATAACAAACATCTAAAACAAAATTCTCACCAAAAAGAAAGAGAGCGGCAAGAAGAAAGAGTAATTTCAAATCCAACAGAGTTGCCATTAGAAAAAAGTATTATAACTAATGCAAAACTTTAAAAAAAAAATTTTTAGCAAGATATTATTTGAAAAATGCGTAGAACCTAATATAATTTCCTTTAGCAATTTCAAATAGTAATACAAATATATATGACAAAAATCGGCGAATGTTACTTCTATGCACATTGCCTGTTTGTTTGTTTGCACAAGAAGTTGAAATCAAATCAATTAACTGAATTCCTAATTGAACATATCCAATAAATGTAACATTAAATCATAAAGAAAGATTCGATAACTACCTCTTAAAAAAAGAAAATTGTCTTGTAAAAAGCAGTCACAGCGATCATTAAAGGCTAAGCAATTTTTGTAGAGATGAAGATTTAATTGTTTCTCTTTGATTTCCTTTTTTTTTTCCAAAACAGAGAACGTCCAGAAAAGTTACATAATGATTAGTTTAAAAATTTCAAAATGTTTACAATATTTCACAATTTCTCATTTAAAAAATCACTTAAGTTATTTTAACTGCTTTTCAATCGAACCATAGCAGCATTTAATTCAAGAAATTTTCCAGGGAGTTGCCACGCTGTTGATAAAACTAAATCGATTTATATTTATTGTTATTTCGGGAAGCATTGTGAACGGTTTAAATTAACATATATAATAAATTAAATTTAAAAGTAAATCGCATATAAAATCTGATTATAAACTTGAAATTAATATTAGCGGAAGCAAAGAAAATCGATAAGAAAAATAATTAAATAAAATTTTCTAAATTTTGTGCGAAAAATTATTACAAAGAATAACGTAAACGCAAAAAAAAAGGAAAGAATATTTACAGAGAAAAATATTTGTTATTTATTCTAAAGCAAAATTAATAGAATTGTGAGTCCTCGCATACTGTAATAATGATGACGATTGGCATTGTTGTTATATTGTTGAAAAAATCACAGCAAAAAAGAAAAATAAATTAAATGCTTTATTGCTGCTGCTATAATCCGATCCGTTACTGTTGCTGGCTTTGTTATTGCATCTAATTAACGAACAACTGAAAATTCGATTATCGACATTGACATTATGATTGAAAGCAATCATTATGTTGATTCACGGCATTTAATGCACGTTTTAGACAATGATTAGTAAAGAAAAAATAAACAAATTTTTTAGAATCTTTGGCAAGAATTACCCTCTCAAATGATGCTTACAAAAAAAAAACGCTCCACTTTGAGATTTAATTAGTATTAGAACAAACAAAAAAAAAAAAACAAAACACTTTACGATAGATAAGAAGGGGCAGCAGGCAAAACTTTCTGCTCGTACGTAATTTATTTTTGCTTATATTAAAAAAAAAGAGATTTCAAATCTATCAAAATCTCCTTTCGTACTTTTTATTATAAAAAGAGAAATTTTCTTTCTTTTCACTTTTAAGACGAGTGCGTTTTTCTTTCTTGTGATTAAAAAGCAAACAGAAAAAAAAGAAGCAAAATATCTTAATAACAAAGATCTACTCGATAAACAAAACCATAAAGCAGCAGCAGCAGCAGCAACAACAAATTTTCATTAAACAGTATGCTATGTAGGTAAAAAGCAGAGAAGAGTTGAAAGTCATTACAGTTTTGGACATTGTAATATAAACTGAATAAAGTCACAATGGCTGTCATATTATTACCGTTAATGCTGTGGTTTTTATTACTTAATGGTAATTTCGTGAAGGGTTATGAAATGGGACGACCACCTCTTTCAAAAATTGATGCCGTTCGAGAAGAATGTATAAGCTTGGAAAAATCATTATGGCAAAATTTAAATAGAATTTCATCGAATCGAAGTATTGAACAACTTGCAAGAAAAGTAATTGGCACTCATCGCTTATTTATTAATGAAAATATGTCGTCGACCTGGACGGAGGGAAAATACCATATATTAAATCATTATGAATGGAGCATCTTAGAGCGAGATCTATTGCTGATAGAAAGCATGTTTGGTTTTTTTATGCGTTTCGTTAACGACCGCGGCAACAGTGTGGATTTAGAAGAGCGGGCTGTAATGGATTTAGCAGACAGTGTTTTGCGTAACGATAAAATATTTTCGATGGATCGTATTTTTCAAGATATTGAATTGATAATGGTGAAGCAAGCTCTTTATTATCGAGCATTAGTGGTTAGTTTTATACCTTTTCTGTTTAAACAACTCTTTCAACACTAATTAGTATCAAAATGCTATAAAATAAAATATAAAAAAAAAAAAATAAATAAATAAATAAACTGATATTTAGCATGTGATTACATTATTACTAGTAAGAACATATTCCATTTCATGTTTAATGGAAAATTTTCCACAAAAAGTACTGTGAGAACGAAAAACATCTGTTTATTTGCTCAGGAATTTGAAACAACGTTAAATAAATTACCGTATTGATTGAAATTTGCACTTTTTTTTGCATGAATTGTTAATAATAACATTTTAATGCATTACAGGCCTCAAAAGAAGAACGTTGCCATGATCAACAATCAACCCAGCAGTTTTTGTATTCCTTGTATTCGGACATAGCTTTGACTGAACTGAAGGGTTATACAATGATGGAATTTTCTTGGATGATGTTACGTATTTATGGTAAAGGTAAGCAAAGTTTACATTAGAATACATATTTCCTTTTTGTAAATACATTTGAAACGAATTTAATTTTTTAGGTAACTTCACTCAAGAATCCGAACTTATGCGCGAGGGTTACCATCAACGTACGGAAAGAACCGTACGTTTGTTGCGTGAGGTAATGAATCGTGCTGATCGTATCGTTTGGCGTTGTGACCCTCAAATGTACAAGTTGGGCCAAACGTACGAGGAAGTGACCCGTTTGATTCAAGGTTATATTGAGAATGAAGTTGACATGAATCACAACAGGGAATGTTGGCGTACATGTGAAGACTATGAATATTCTAAAAGTGAAGGTTGCTTTAAGGACAAATTTTGTGCACGTCAAGAACGTTGCACCGGTCATATACATAATTGTCGTTATGTTGATTCGGACATGTTTATATGTCAATCGGTAGGATTACATCAATTGCTTCTACTTTTAATTTGTTGAAATTAATAATAGGTTTATTCAATAGGGTCGGGGTAATGTAAGACGTTATGAGTACGTTCAATATGAAAATGGTATAACATTCGGTGAAGAAACCAAATGTACACGTGGTACGACCCAAGTAAGAAGATACGAATATTTACAATAAACAAATATGATAAATATGATGATTTTTCAAGGTCGATTCATGGTGGCGGTATTTGTTTTGGCATTGTACCTATTGTTTTTGCTATTGCGATGATATCTATAGTACAAAAACTGATCGATACTTTAACTTACGCGAAACTTTATCTGACGTAGCGGCCAACAAGTAAATTATTTGTTAAGGTGATTGCTATATATATATGTATATATTAACCGTTACATTTTCATTTCAGGGTAGTGACAGGCTTACGGTTTACGAAACAAAATCGAGTATTTCATTTGCAAATACAAGAAGGCGAGCTCTCGCCACGAGGCGTTATCAATAAAACTTCGTTAGCATGGAAACCGGTAGAGAATTATACACTCTATGAGAAAGGTGTTCATAACAATCGTGATTATTATACTCTAAGTTATGGGGCACGTTCCATTGATTTAGATGACATTCTAACTGACGACCATACGTTTGTAGTAACTGGCGTACGTTTTCGAGTGATGGGAGCGCATTTAAATTTGGAAGCACGCTTAACGGAATTTAATTTCGAAACCGGGAAACTGGTACGACCCGAGAGCAATAGTTTTTGGAAATCAAACGATAACACGGATGTTAGTGGAGATCGAAGGTAGCTAATAAATTATTATTTCAAAGTTTCAAAAAATGTTAAAAGTTCTTTATTTTGCAGAGCTAAAATCGTTTTGAATGAACCTGATATGCCGACACGTACAAAGGCTAAATCGATTCCCGACTCGCGGCATAATCAATATATTGAATTTGGCCCATCCAGCATGCGTAAAGATGCCGGACAATCGACGGTGCCTTTCATTGATACACAAGATGTGGTTTCATATCCATCGGTACCTTTGGCGGGTATTGGAATTTATCATAAAGGACGACCCGGCTATGGAGGTTTTTTAGCTCCTAAATTATTGACTTATGATTTTACTCCACATATTCAACCACCCCGTAGTCTTTAAAAATTTATATCCCAATCCTCGTTAGGAAACCACTTCATTATAATGTATTGTAGTTTATAGTGATAGCCGTCAGAAAATATTTCTGGTTGAAAATTATATGAAAATGCTTAAGCGGCCTTTAATGGCCAGTATTCGTTTGCTGAAATCTAAGCCATCGCAGATAGACATGTAAAAATAAATTAATTATTAAATATACCAAGAATATATTGTAAGGAACAATATGAAATATAAAAATATGAGTTTTAATAATATCCACAATAACTAAATTATTGAATAAATTTCGCTTATACTTGAGAAATCGTCATAAAGGCGAAAATTAAAGCGTTCTTTAAGGAAAACATATGTTTAATATTTGAAAAAGACAAAGTGGAGAGGAAAGTCAAATATTCTTGTTAAATTAAAGTGCTACTTATCCGTAACCATACACAAGATCTATGTACTATATATTAACTCACCTGAACTCTTAATGGATGCATCATCAGTAATGGAAGAATATACGACCGTGTAGGTAAGACTTCTGAAAGAGACATACCCATTTTCGTAACCGCCTGGCAAACGAAAGCAGCCAAGTAGCGATGCAAAGGAAAATGAAATGAAGCTTGTAACATTTCCTCCTGCAAAATGAAAGAGGCCAATAAAATCAAAAAAGAAACACATTATTTTACGCTACATATTCAAATAACCACACCTTTTCTAATTGTGGGCGAACTAAGACAAAATGACGGCTACGTTGCAAACTCAAGTTCAAGGAAAAAAAAAATAGTGAAAAACGAAATTGTTATTTAAGACGGGATTATATTTTGAATGCACGAACGAACGGACATGACTGCATCGTTTCACCTAATTCACGCTGATTAACCATATATTATGTGGTAAGGGAAGATTGTAGTTTAATTTAAATATATGTTTATGTTAGCGATGAACGTAAATCATTTTAACTAAATAAACTAAGTAAGACAAAATCTATGCTATCTACATTCATCATTTTTCCGAATGCATTTGTATCGTCTTTAAATGAAGTCGATTCGGACTTACTGTAATAGCCTTGAATTTTTCCAATTCAAATTGGCCTTCAAATTGGTAAAATAATAAAAAGACACTCACAAAAAGATTACTCACAAAAGTGCTGAATTTCTACTAAGAAATTAAAAAAAAAAATACTTATACTTCATAAGATATTGAAATGAACAAGTGTGTCCTCCTTTTCGATATTGTTGTGTTACGAATTTTTCATAAAAGTAATACGTCTTCGGCGATAGATATAAAAAGAGAGAAAGTTCAAAAAAGCCAACCTGTGAAATTTTTGGTTCCTGGTAGTATATGGCGTCTAACCATTCGTGGAGCGTTGTCACACAATCATTTATAATTTTTTTGGCCAAATGAGCATGTTTGCCGTCCTGTAAATGAGAGATTATCGACCACATAGGATAAGCACTCGCTTCCAGTTCACATGAAAACGCCGCATAGTATGAGTTTGGCTCGAATTCAACATGGGAGGCAGTTTCACGCACATTAACATTCATACCTTGCAACATGGAAAGGAATTGAAACCACATATCTATTAAATTGTCGTCGCGTAAGAAAACCAAAGCCACCGATTCATGGGACAATACATTATTGAAATCGGATACTAATGGCCAATAGCAATGGTCCTTCATTACTTGCCGTGTGCAATCAATTACAAAATGAAAATTTTTCGCTGGATCTACAAAAAGGAAAAAAAAAAAAATATGATAAAAAAGAAGACGACAATGATGAAAAAATTAAAACATGTCGTTAATTTCGAAACTTACCGTGCAAAGTATTTTGTATGAGTATTTTGGACATCATCAATCTTAGACTTATGATCATAACATGTAACAATGATAGTTCCTTAACCATTTTGAGTGCCAAGCTTTCGTTCGAAAATAGCTGCACGCTCATGTGCACAACGCGATTGCTTAATGTGTCCGGATCCCGAGACATTTCTAATACAGATGGTATGCGACTGTAGTGCATTACAAAGGTGCGCGTTAAATGCTCTTTGTAATCTTGATCAGGGAGCATATTAAGTAGAAAACATACTAAATTTTGAGGAAATTCAAATTTAAATGTCCAAAATATGAATTCTTCAAGCAGTGTGGTATGCTCTAATTTCGCACCCAAAGCTGGTAAATCCTTATAATCATCAGGCGGTTCGGGTCGAGGAAATCGATTCACCGCTTCCTCATATTTTTCACGATTCCTTCGCAGCACTTTAACGTGACGAGATGAAAGTGTGCTAACATCATTACAACTGTAGACCTCTTTGCTAATCAAAGCTCTCGTCATAACTTTGCGCATTATTTCGCCCATATTATTTAAATCGATTAACATGTTGGTGAACTCCTCGCATAAATGGGCAGCTAAATTGAAAGTTTGTGATGTAGCGTCACTATGCTCGCGAAAATGTTGCAATAAACGAAATAATAATTTCGGCATAATAGCCTCGGCAACAGCCAATAAATTTGCGGGTACTGGTTCCTTATTTACTCGATTATTAATGCCATGATCACTGCAAAATCCTTCTGCCTTCATTACAGACGTATCTCCACAATCACAAGCTCCACCGGCTTGTGAAAGAAACATGTTGAAATCATGATTGGTATGATTACCTTTCTTAAAGCAATCGCGGCAAATGGACATGCAAGGCGAGATACCGCAAGTTCGACATCGGTAAGCTACCACATGTGGCACCCACACCAGACCACATTTAGCATGATTATCATAACTGCGCACTGTAAATATATAAAAAGTATATTCAAAATTAATAGTCATAAAATCATCACACCATCGAAAATCGTCACACACATGTACAAACTAATTTTAAATCTTCTTTTATTATATCCACCACTGTAAGATGGGGGGGTATACGCATTTTGTTTTTGATTCCAGAATATATGTAACACCCAAAAGGAAGTTTCACAGTCCCTATCAAGTATATATATATATATATATATATACTCTTGATTAGCGTGAAATTCTGAGTTGATTTAGCCATGTCCGTCCATCGTTACAAGTTAGAAGTTTCCGCACGCAGGTTAGTGTTGAAAATGGGCCCAATTGGTCAGAGCAATAGCGCGCAATGGAGCGTAAACTGAACGCAACTCAGTTTCCGAAATTTTCCGAGAAAAATTTATGGATTTTTGCTCGTTGCTCGGAAATTATTAAAATTGGAATCGTAAAATTTTCCACATTTACTTTACTCGAAGCACTCTACTCTTTACGTGTAAAAATGAAACATATCCCCCCACATGCCCACACAGAGTTAGAAGTGATTAAATTCCTCTTTTTTTTTCCCCCCGCTTTTTGGAGGTTTTATGCTTCTTTGTTGTAAGACAATCAAGACCGAATGTTTAATAGTATTTTGTACGCTTCTTAAATGAAGATACACTTAAACTAGATACCGTGATTAATATTTTCTTAACAATATCAGCGATATGGTTATCATCAAATAAAAGACCGTTAAGAGTTGAATGCGGAAAAACATTGTGGCGGATATTCGAGATTTGGCCCCAGCCAAATGTAACTAACGAAACTACTTAAGCGTACGTAACGCGCATAGTATCAAAATTCTGAATGATACCTTAAAGTACATAAGTTTCAATTTTAGATATTATTAGATAAAGCTGCGTAAGCCGCTACATGTGTATGTAAAGGTAAATGAAAATAAGAGATACATGATGGTATGCTTTCAGCAAACAATTGCGATTCCAAACAGTTTTAGCTCAAGTATCGAAGTATATACACGTCTATTCATACAGGTGTCATATTGTGGCCAATAAAATAGCTCGGCGAGAAGACGCGATATTTCCAATAACGAGCCGGGGCAAACAGTTCAAATAACGAGACGCTTTCTCTTCTAAATAACTCTCAAAGATTAACATTTTTTTCTTATTAAAATAACTAAAGAAAAAGGTATATATGTAACATTCGCTTTCTTCATGACGAAAAAGTCGAATGTAAACAAAAAGTTTTTTCTTTAAACAAATAGACGACATTTTTTGTAGAAACTATTCATAGACTGAGGTTTTAAGGATTAGTTTGGCTAAGGCGTTTTCTTTTAAGTCGACTTAAGAATCAACAAATTTTTAAGTTTTAATCGCTAATCTAACAAAGAAAATTACAAATTATAAGAAAGAAAAGACGAACTTGAAGTTGCTACGGGGATAGAATATATATACAAAATAAACGCTGGAATAATTTTGAAATGATCTTAAATTTACTTAGTAGTAAATCAGTCAGATCAGTTTTACTTGGAAATCGATTCAGGTTAATAATTGCTGTGAAATTAGGTTATAAAATTTTCAAATGTAGATCAAAGCCTGTATGATATTAACCTTAAGAATGCATTCAGGGGAAGAATATACTCTCACCCTAGCCCGGTCACCCTGTTCACGCGGCATAGTAAAGTGAAAGATAGCATGAAATTTACACGAATGCAAGAACAAATTTCATATTTATTACAGATAATCTTGAGTTTATCCATTTCACTCCCGTTAAGAGTATCACCCGAGTTACAAATTTGCCTTATAACGTTAAATGGCACTAATCTTCTTGCCAAGTTATTACAAGTATGCTCTTGGGTAGACACGACATGATATTCTATGATAATCTTTTCTTCATTTTAACCATTATAATCGATCGTACCACCAACGAAAATTTGATCAGTGTGTATGGGTATGTATGCAATTCAATTTTTTAACCATACAAAGGTGTAATATTGAGTTTGTCCGGATGTATGTAAAATTATTTTCTGAACCTTATCTGTCCCTTTGCGGTCTGTCTATGTAAATTTGTGTTGAAACTGCAGGTCTTAATTGTTGAGATAGTTTGATGAAAATTGGTACACTGACGTGTGCCTAAGCGCAAAACGATATTGAAATCCATTGAAATTCGGTCCATTTTTTTCTTTTTTTTTTTTTTCTCAATATAACTACCTTTTTCGAAAAATCCTCATATGGAAAAAGATGCTATTTGCAAAATTTCTCGACAAAGCTGGCTGAGCAATTTTATTTCGGTATTCCAAATTGTTGTGAAAATTCTAGACCGGCTGTGGCACCTATTTTTGAACCCTATCTCATATAACGAGAGCTAAATTTCGTATGATAAAAACAGTCAGCGAACATAATAGTAATTTAAGATAATAAGTATTAATCGTACCAAATTACTTATTATAACCATCCCGGTCTATTTTTTGGATCCTAGCCTATTGTTCCGTTTTAAGGTAGAAAAGTCTAAATTGTAGTACGTAAGAATGAAAATTAACCCACAATATCAATTTGATATAAAAATTAACCGTGCAAAATTTGGACCAGTCGCGCCTATTTTTGGATCACACCTTATATAAGGATTTGCACGAAAATTTTTGCTTTTTAGGAGGGCAAAGATGCCTAAGTTTTAATATTTTACGATGAAAATTGGTACATAATAGTAGTTTGATATTGAAATTAACTATGTCGAACTTGGAATACGGACCCACATGTTTTGAACCTCTTGAGCACAGCCGTTCTTAAGGAAAGTAAGCCTTTATTTGCAAAGAGGCCTAAATTTTAACATACCTTTTACCGATAATAGTAAGCTCATATAAAAACATTGTACAATTTTTGTATTCTATGGCAAAAATAAAAATCGTGTGGGACAAGGCGTTGTAGCATAATTAATGGTCGGCCTAATCCGACTATAATGTTTTCACTTTTCTTTTTTTTTTTTAGATCGATTTTTTAAGACTGATAACAGCCGCTGGGACTTAGACGAGGAGCTCTGTGTTTTTGTTTCACTATGAGTGAACGCGAGGGGGCATCCACCACCACGCAAACGTTTTTCTCATATCAAAATCGTGATTCAATATGTGACAAACACGTTCTTAGTACATGTTCATAGTCTCTGCAATCTCTCTAATCGACCTCTCTAGACGACCATTGACGTCAAGGACGATTTCAACAATGTTTTCGTCAGTGTTTACAGTTTTTAGTTATATCGCATGTTCGTCGTCATCTAAATTGATGGATACTTGTCGAAAAAAAAATGGCGCGACTGAAATTTTGGCGAATACGCGTGCACAGCAGCACGCGCACAAACGTATTATTTCCTAACTTTTGTGGACAAATGCTACCATTTCCATACGGAGGCCACAGATTTTTGGGCCAACGTGCAAACACCATTTGTCAGCATCCTGCTTAGGTGCACAGATACACCAAAATCATTTTTATATACGTTGGTCTTTCATACCCCTGAGTCGTAGGTGGGAGTTTCACTTATTAAAAAAAAAAAAAACTTATTTTAGAGCAATACATAAGGATCGTCCCGTTATGGGATTGATGTGTCAGAAATTTCCAACTAAGCTCTCTTAGTTTTTTATGGGTCAGCAAAGATTTGCCTAGCCATGCGTTATTATGACGAGAGGAGAGACAATTGTGATTGGTTTCTTTTGAATTATTTCCTGCAGCGCTAGACTGCGTCTAATCGCGTCGTACAAACAGCATAAACACATGTGGCTCCTATTCTGGCTTTAAAGTTATTTGGAGCGATATTTCCTTCAAAAGTGAATCGATTTCGTTCGAATAGAAATTCAGTTAAATAATTTATTTTTAAATGCCTCACCCCACAAATCAACGAACTGTTTTGCGTGTGTGTATTTGTGTGTGTACTTAGCCCCACAAAAAAGATTTAAACTTGTTTAATAATCGATATTAGATTTGTTAGGAATGGTATGACTACTTATGTTTGTCAGACTCTTTGAATTTACTGTAAGATTTCATTGAATTTTTCAGCGATTGAACGGCCAGAGGTAAGGTGCATTTTCGACATCGGAATTATTAGAAAGGAAGCTATAAAGCCTTCTACATTTCATTCTCTCTTTCATTCTGTATAAGATGTCCTCACTTAAGGCGATAAGAAGAACGGTGAAGAAAAAGGTGCAAAATGTGTGGATCCCTTAAGTGGATGACTATCAAAGATTTATTGCGGGCGAATCTTATGATTGATTTAACATTAAAACTACCAACGTTTTGCCTAAGGAGAGAAAAAACTATCACTTTCTTCCCAATTTCGATTTCTATTCTGTCAGCTTTATTTCCGAACTTAGTCTTAAGAGAAATAGAGCAGTCTACCTCTTGAAACCGAATGAAAAGATGAGAATGCAGGAAGCATTTATGTGTTGTAAGCGCTACGCAAATCCAATATTTCAATGAATTATTATCATTATTATAAATTTAGCCAGAGAATAAATTCTAAGACTAAAGTCTTAAAGCACTAGCATCTAAGGCTTTCGGCTTTAGTAGAAACTCTACCGCATTTGAGAGTTGAACCTACGGCTATTGAGTTGCTAGTCGAGACTCTTACCTACTCGGCCACTCAGGCGGACTTCAATAAATTAAAAAGCGAAAGGACGTAATAAAGAATTTGTCTAATCGTTTAATTATGCCTTACAAGTGCTTTCATTTTGTCACTTAACTTCTTTCAAGATCGCTGCGATCACCTTAATCAAAGGGATCAACGATCCAACGAAAAAACTCATTTCTTTTTATAATTTACTGCATAAAACCAAGTCTGCGGGCGAAAAAAAAAGTAATTGAAATTGAATGTTCAAATTATGTTATATGTGTGTGTTATGATATAATCCCATCACGTGACAAACAAATATGTTGAGTATGTTTTTTATATCTGGAAAATTAATCTTAAATAGTAACATGCATTAAATCCTTTTATAATAAGAAAAGGGGGCAAGGCAGCGTGA